GACAAGAGTGAGCAGAAGGCCAGGTGCAGTGTACAGAACTAAGCAACCAGGCTGCGAGGGTGCAGACAACATAAGGGACAGCAGAGAGGTCGTCGGGACATTGATACAAGGGAAATGGAGGTGTCAGAGGGCTTGGAGACAGGCAAGCATCTTTTAGAAGCTGATGAGAGGCCAGGTGGGCAGCACACGCCTGAGTCCCAGCTACAGGGGAGCTCAATCAGGAGGGTCACAAGTCTGGGTCCAACCTGGGCAACTTAGCAACCTGTCTCAGAATAAATAAAAAGGGCTGTGGATGTGGCTCAGCGGCAGAGAACCCCTGGCTGTGATCCCCAGTACCACTAAAGGGATGGGGTAAGGCTGAAGAGATGCATCCTTTAGACAGGAATAGTTTAAACATGCAGGAAAGAAAAGGAAAGAGTTGACGGTCTCAGATTTCCTGCAAGAAAAACAGGAATGAGACCCATGGGAGAACAGACGGATCTGTCTTACAGAGGACAACGTGCCACCCATCACACTGTGTGCCGGCAAAGTTGAGACCAGTTTCTGAAGTGGAATAGCTGGGACAGGGGCTGCTGGTTTAATGGAAGAGATAATATTTGATTACAAAAGCTGCGAGCTGACCAAAGGTACAGTCAAATTGGTAATCATAAAATTTAGTTTCCCCACTTCCCTGTTATACACTTACAGAAAATTTCAGGGATCACAAAGAAGTGGTAAGACATTGTTTTACATTTAACATTCTTCCTAAAATGATTATGTGACTCTTTTTCCCATACAGAGTTAACTGAGCTTAATAACTTTCCCGCATTTGAAAAAAACACGTTTTAATCATTCAGATGAGGTTTGGGTAATATCAAATCCAAGTTTTCAGTCAACCCTTTTATAAGACCACAACTATAAAATGTATTAATATGAAGTGTTACTCAAGTACGTAACAACGTAGCTGTATTTGTGTGTATAAACGTGTAATCCTTATTAGATTAGATTAATTTGCTAAAGTGTCAAGCTAACATGGTAAAGAGAGTTTGCTGATAAAGGCTAACCTATAATAATTTAGTAAGTGACGGTCTAGGGGTACACTAAGTTCTTGCCTAGATGTGCAATGCCCTGGCTTAAATCCCCAGCAATGCAAAGGCTGGAGAAAAATGAAAGTTGTTACACGTGAATGCAAGCTAAAGTCTCAATTATTCAGTGAAGATTGACTTTTCAGGATCTGTATAGAAACCTCAATGGCAGGAAGTTGGCAATGAAGTTATTAGATATAACTAAAATACACCACATTTGAAATCTTCACACTTTATTGACTCAGCATGGTTTTCCTGTATTATCAACTATTTACTGTAGGTTTTTATACTCAAAGCTTGAATGATCACTAACCAATGCCTTTACAATCTATAAAAAGGGCACAGATTAACAGGCAAAAATAACACTTGAGTTAACATCAAAAACAGGTTTTTTTTGGTTCAAGACAGGATTTCACCAGGTAGTTCAGGCTGGCCCCAAACTCCAGTGATCATGGTGCCCCAGCCACTGTGTGCCACAATGCCCAGCTAAAAAGTAGTATTTGTTGTTTCCATGAATTTAAAAAGTCAAGCACTTATAATTTTTACAATAGTGAAATATGATCTTGGGTATCGAATTTAACACTGATTCCATAGAAAATTTGTAAGATCAGAAAAATAGGTGTCAATACTTGTACACTAAAAGAGTACTTTTTGTAAAAATTTCACTAAATTCTGCGCTTTCATTACTAAATATGAAATTATAAAAAATTATTTAAAGTACCCAACACATAAGTCTACTTATAGTAAAACATAAGGATTTAAAAAGCTAAGACTAGTCAAATTCCCCTTGATAGTCAATCTAAATAACCACCCATTTATTTCAAAAACTCCTCTATACTTATCCGAAGGAAATGCATGCCAGAAATAAATAACTGATACCATTACTTGTATTTACCTGGTCTTTTCAATTAAAAATGCAGTAATATTTTTCCTAATATAAACTTTTTGTAACCAATACATTAAAGTAATATCATAAATGTACTCTCCAGGGATTTTTTTTCAACCTAAGAATCAATGAGTCAAAATTTAAAAGTAATCAATATAAACAGGACCTATTTTCTGTCAGTTCCTGTCTCTTCCCAAGCTATAAGAGTGTGCAATGTATTTCTTGTACTCATACCCTGAACTACCAAATGCTTCAGAATTCAAAATAATATTAAGTAAAAAAAGAAAAAGATGCTACTTCATGAAAAGTTGCAGTCTCCAGTCTCCTTGTTATTCTTTCTTACATGAGCGAACCTAAAGCAGCAGACAGAATTACCACTGCAGAGATGTCTAACACTTGTATGATCCCCCTGCATGGAACTGCTTGCTGTGCTACACACACTGAAGAGCAAGCTGCAGTATTTTCATAATGGCTCAGAGAATATTATAAAACGTCATTTTGATCATTGTGAAGCAACAGTGAACCTTCCGGAAATCTGTATCATCATTACATTTTGGGGAGACTTGGGATCTGTAATGTAATACAACAGCTTAACCTCACTTCTGTGGCTAAGGCCCATAATGACTAAGCCAGGTAGGCCCTGGTGGATCAGATTATTCATTTTATGCTGCACTCATTTTCACCTCTCTGTTCTAACAGATGATAGTGTTCTTCAGTTTATCTATGTATTAGTTTTTTAAAAAATTACTGATCAAAACAAGTTAGAATGATTCAGCAACTAAATCTTAAACCCAAGAGCAAGAAATGCAGCTGATTCTTTTCTAAAGCAACCAAAATCTCACTCAAGGAAACCCACTTGGATGGCCAGAGGAAAGGAGGAACTAATTTGTACCAAGGAATTCAATAAAGCATACGCTGTATAACTGGCCATGTGAAAAATAATTTAAAATAATCATGTAAGCTCGTGTTTAAATTCTGTAATTTTTACTGTTATTTTTCAGTAGATGAGAAGCATCCTGGTTCATTTAATTTTCACAGGCTCACAATTTAAGTGATACCTCTTTAGACAATAATATCCTTATGTCTTTACCCTTTAAAATGTCTTTACTATTTCCTACAAACAATACATAACAGAGCTTTGCCTCTGCTCTTCATTTTCTTCTATTAATGTTTACTCACAGCTTGAATAAAACATTCTAATATTACAAAATTAATCACTGTAATAGGAGCACTATTTACTGTTTTACAGCCACACTCTACAACTTCCTACAAAGCTCTTTTCACCCTCTTTGTTTAAAATTTCAGGGTCTGGGGAAGGTAGGGAAATGCATTCTGCAAGGGACACCAATTAAAAGTATTAGCAAAATTAAATAGATTAATCTGTTTTCAATATTTGGTAATGTAAGGTTCTAATTAATGTTAATTTAAAGAACAACAGCTAAACCACAGAATACAGCAGTTCAGACCCTGAAAAATGTGGCCTATTTACCCTGAAAATATATAATCTATAAATAAACAGATAAAATACAAAAATCACATTTAATATTCAACCTTTAAATCCCAAATTTGCCAAACTGTCTCATTATCATTTTCATTCCAAAATCTATGTCATGTTTCAAAAAAAATAGCCCTCATCCTCTGGTAGTCTAAAAATAGATTCCTACTGTCTTTTTACAAGAAACAATTACATTTGGTTATGAGGACTACCATACAAGCCACATCACTGATACCTAAGATTCCTATTTAACCTCATTTTGGCAATCAAAATGGTAACTTAAGTATACACACACACAAAATTCTTACCTATATGCTGCATTTTCTTTCAAATGCAAAATGGTTAGATTCCCCTTCTACTTAATCAGTACAGGGTCTGGACACTGTTCAGTCTGACTTGCAAATATTTGCTTCCCCTCTTAGGACATAGCATCCGCAGGGTTCTACAGCACTACTTACATTCTCTTCCACATAAAAATCAGACATTACATGAAAGGAAAAGAAAGACAGCCCATTTCAAAGCATCTGGCAAACCTCCACTGGCAACCTGCCAAGCCTCTGCTAAACCTTCCTGTCTTTCCGAGCATGCTCACTTAAAACCAACAGCACGTTACTATGGTAACTCTGTAGGCAGCCTGTAAGTATGAACCGCCATTCTGATTTCAGAGTGTAAAACACCAAATACTGCAGGGGAAGTAAAAGGGAAGAAATAGCGTCTATCGTACACCACACACAAGTACACTTGTGTTTTTTCATAAATTCCCATTTGCGTACGTAAAAGAGAAGCAAGTATGTGAAATTTTTTCCACACAAATATTTTCCATGCTCAAATAGGTTCTCTCTCTCAGTATGTTTTCTTTGTTTTGCCCCAAACCTCTCACCCCCTAAAAACCAAAAATATAGTGGAAAAATTTCAGTGCTGTTGAGTAAACAGACAATACTCAGGTAAGCACTTACGTGCATTTCACAGGTTATTTCTTATTATTATACTTTAAATGACACAGCAGTATTACAAAGACAACCATTTGCACTTATAAAATACAATTTAATCTTTTCTATGTTTATCTAATGAAATTTGCATCAAGTTTGGATAGAATTTTTACCTTCAAAAAAGGTTTTGAAGTTAAGAGAAAGCAGACCGGGGTTCACATCCATTATCCACCTTGCAGTTCTGTTGCCTTGGGAAAGTTATTTAACCTTTCTGAATCTCACTGACTTCATCTTTAAATTAGGATATTAACAGTTACTGACCGATGAAAAGTACTTCTTTGTAATTTCATCTTCCTTTTCTAGGAAGGGGTTGAACCCAAGACCGTGCACATTTGAGTGCTGCACCACGAACTCCACCCCCAGCACTGCCTGTGACTTCTCCCCTACTGCACATTAATCCTGACTGACACACTTCGCTAAGAGCCAAAACACAGCATCCTCAACCTCCAAATCAGCAATGGAGAAACAAACTGAGAATCTCAACAGAAGGAAAATATATGAAGGTTATTACTTGTACTAGAGAGCATTAAAATGTTTGTTTGTTACACACAGAAAATTATACCTACCGCCTCCTCTTCTTCCTTTTTGGTTTCCTTTTCCTTCTCCTCATCGTTTTCCTCTGCCGGGCCATCTTCATCATCACTACTGGATGACTCGAGGATTTCACTTAGATCCATTTTCCAATTGTCAGGAACAATTCTAGCTTTTAAGAAGGTACTTGCTTTCTGTAGCCCTAAGAGTGAAAATGTACTTCAGCAGTTGTTATGGAATTAACAGCACAGAGCTATAGAAAATGTACAACCCTAAAAGAGTGAGATCTGAATTCAAATCCAGCCGCCACTTATAAAATGACACAGTAAGTGGGGATACTGTTAGAGAAACTGTGATGATGAAACACAGAAAGTTAAAACTATAAATTACAAATCAAATATTTTATCTAAACAGTAAAAAAACTGCCATCAAATAGGAGTGGTTAGCACCCCTGTTTACAGCTAAAATGGCATCAGAGAATACTAGGTCTTACTTTATTTACGGCTGTCCCGTAAAAGCAGTTTTTTTTTTTTTTTTTTGTCTTTTTCTGGTACTGGGAATCGAACTCACGACCTTGCACTTGCCAGGCAGGTGCTGTGCCGCTGAGCTAAATCCCCAGCCCCCACGTAAGAGCAATATTATAAAATAATGGATTGATCTGTCTTTGTTTTACCTGGTTTAGTAGACAGCTCAGATTCCGGCAGACTGAGAATGTCTATTTCCTTAATATCTTTCCTTGCTATAGCATAACTAATTAAAGAGAAGAATAAAAAGGGAGGAAAACCACTTATTAAATAAAAATCAGCACTCAAGTAGTCCATGTTAACCCATAAAACATAACGACCTCAAAACTTAAAACTTATTTTGCCTATAAGCTGTTTTGACTATCTGATTTCTTAATAAAAGGTTAGAGGAAATAGAGGAAAAGACAGTCTCTTAATCTTGAAAGTTTGGATATTCAAAGGACATTCAATTTTGAGAGCATCAAATTTGGAATACTTCATTCTACACAACCCTCCTGCAGACAGTATGGGGTAACTTCTATCAGCGTGATGACTTCAACACCTGGAGACAAAACTGCTTTTTTTTCGAGACAGGGTCTCACTATGTAGTTCAGGCTGGCCTTGAACTCACTATGTAGCCAAGACTGGCCTTAAGCTTGTGGCATTCCTGTTGCCTTGGCCTCCCAAGTGCTGGGATTACAGATGTGCACTACCACACATGGGTCAATAATGCTTACTTTCATGTTCAATATTTCTTAACTTTTACTAATTTTAGTTTAAAAAACCATTTACTGGAACACCATAGTAAAATCCTTTTACCATTATAAGGTATATCATGGTATTAATTTTTACAGTGAATCATACTTCAATAAATATATGTATTTTATTTTACTTTTGAGGAAAGGGGGTATATTATGGATCAAACCTATCATCTTGTACAGGCTTAGGCAAGGGCTCTTACTACAGGGCCACATCCCAGCCCTAATTTTGTTTTGTTTTTTTAAGACAGAGTCTCACTATGTAGTTCAGGCTGGTCTTGAACTCACTATGTAGCCCAGGCTTGCCTCAAATTAGCAGTGATCCTTCTGACTCAGCCTCCTTAATGCTGGGATTACAGGTATGCGGCACCACTCCTGGCTTTTACTTTGTTAAAACAAAGATGATATTGGGAAAAAGTTTCTAAAAGCCAGGATTTTAGTTTAAAAAGGCAAGATAATTATTGTAGTCATATAATTCTATTAAAAATAAATTCTACAATTCATAATAGTATACATGATAAAAATAACTCTGTACCAAATTTTAAAAATTCAATACCACATTTAAATAAACAAGCAAACATGGTTTAAATATTATTTTCATGTATTGCCCAGTTTTTATATAAAGTTTATCAGCAAAAAACAGCCTACATTACAAAATGTCAAAACATGTTAGATATCATATCAACTCAGTTCATAAATGATCAGACTTTTACAAAAGCAAGTCTTGGTGGAGGGGGTCGATCACTGCGATTCCACTTTTATTCTTCCCATGTAACATTAAGTAATTCATTACTCACAATTTAGAATCAATAAATGATCGAACTAAGCACTGGTCCTTCTTCACTGTGATGTCATCATTACAGCCGGGCGAGACTACCTGAAATACACAGCAAACAACTGGTTGCTTCCTCTTTCCCTTGCTCAGAAAATGAGTATCTTTTAAAGGAACAATTCTGGGTCCTCTAACTTATCCAATGGATTTTTTTCAGGTAAGATTTTGTTGGGTAGCCAAGATTGGCCTTGACCTCTTGATCTTCCTGCCTCAGTCCTCCAACTGTCCTGCTTCACATGGATATTTTATAAGAAACAGTTCCAGGCTACCGTGTTCTCCCACTGTGGTCTGTGTTCACCCTACACACTGTACTTATTTTCCTACTTCTACTTGGCCCAAACTCGCTCCGTAAAGCCTTTTTTCCTACCTTTAATAAATGCAAAACCCTATTACCATAAAAAGAAAAAACAGTTCCATCATAAATAGCTCCTATTATTTACCAATCACTTAGTGAAGATCTCATGTTTCTGTTTAGCATACTGACTTTCTAGATATTTATTCAGTTATCCTATAACATGAAATTAATAAAATGGACATTAAAATGGGACCACCACTTCCAAAAAATTAGGCTTCACTCTACGCTGAATAACAATTTTTGGAGAGAGACATAGTTTTTGTTTTTGTTTTGAGACAGGGTCTCACTAGTTAGCCCAGGATGGCCTTAAATTACAGCAATCCTCCTGCCTCAGCCTCCCAGGTGCTGGGATTACGAATGAGCACCACCATGCCCCGCTGTACTTTTTAAAAGTATACTTAAGTACAGTGATCCCAACGGACAGAGGCAATATGAAAACTCAGAGAGAAAGCGTTGAACACAGGTGGCAAGGGTAAGCATGGCAGCTGAGCCTTAGGCAGCACAACTCAAGGCCTGCTCACCTTACCTGTCAACTACTCGCATGGCCTCAAATTTCTCTCTGCCACCCTCCCTCCCTTCCAGAGCAATGGATCCAGTAGGCCGCTGTGTCATTAACATTCCTAAACACTGAGCTCAGCCATTCTGCAAAATCCTCTGCAGCATGGTTTCCAAATTTTTAGTTCTGCCCCAGATGCAAATTATCTTTGCGGTCTCATTTCTCCCTATTTCCCTACGCTCATCTAGTAGCCAAATCAAATAGTCAAATTCCCAGTAGGGACAAGTACTACCTCCTACCAAGCATTCTTGACTGCTGTCATAAAATAACGTCCATCTCTTCTCATTCCTTCTCCATGTAAGCCAAGAATACTTCTCTACTAACTCACCTATGACTTGTCCTTCCTAAAGCCTTCTTTAAAAGCTCGGTGAACTTAGCCTAACACTTATTCCCTGTCCTATCCCAGTGCCTGCACCGAATCCATTTGAGTTCATTCTGTAATCTCTAAGTATCGCGCAATTTCATAGGTATGTATGGTAAACTTCCAGAGGGCAGTACACTACCCCAGTCTCGCACTATTCTCTTCTAGGGAACTCAGAATGAAGTCAAAATCACTGCAGATCCTCAGGAATACTAATAATTTAGGACTAGGTGAAGGCTCAGAGGAGTGAAATACGCAACAGAGGGGAGTGAAGAAAGAACTTGATTACGATACACATGTCCATGTTCCAACTCCCCACGGAGAATATAATCATTATGTACTGCAGACATGTACTGGGAAAAATAAAAATTAAAAAAAAAACTTTCATACAGTTTACAGGCAAAATAGGAAACAAATGAAGTAGGGATTGCTTCAAATATCCATTTAAAGAGTACAATATCCATTACTAGTAGACACAGTGAAGTCTTATTTTACTTTATCTTCATTTATTTTGAGATAGACTGCGTCACCCACGCTGGTCTCCAGCTCCTGGGCTCAGCAATCCTCTTGCCTGCTTCCAGGAGCTGGGGCTACGGATATCTGTCACCATGCCTGAGGAAGGAGTATTTCTGAGAACAGGACTGCCACAATTGAATCAGTACTCCAAAAGGATTTCTCTTTACAAGTTAGTTCTAGAAATGTAGTCTGAACTCAGTGAAGAAAGGATCCAAGCTAAGCAAACCTAAAAGTGTGAAATGGCAATGGGACAGAGTGAAGGGGCCCACAGACTCCTGAAGGGAGAGTCGAAGAGGCTGAGGACTAACTACGGCGAGACAGTGGAGGCGACAAGCACAATTCTGTAGACCTGACCTCTCAATTATTAAATCTGTGATGTGCGAATTGATATTGTGTGACACTTTGAAACTCTTTAAATGTTTCTGAAAATCCATTTTGTTAAACAAACGTTTTCTGGTTGATGAACAATGCAAGGAAGCCCTACTCACCAAAGCAGGGTACCATTCAGTCCTTTCGGGTGTGGAAACCACACTCACAACTTTTCCTAATAATTCATCATTGAGCCGATGCTTATCTTCATCTTCCTCTTCACTACTTTCTTCTTCCTTCTCGTCTTCGTTACTGAAAGGCAGGATGACTTGATCATTAGCCTGACATGCCATCACGACGCTAGGACCTAACACATGTAACTCAGCTCCTCATGCAGCCTCTCTGCTCTGACTTGAACTGAAGCGGTGGAGACCCTCTTGCTCTGCACAACTGGTCCTCAGCTACTTGTCAAACTCCGAATCCACATCAGCAAATCAGTAAGGAGCTGGACTCACGTTCTCCTGTCATCCATCAGCTGGGACAGATAAGCCTAATTCCATCACCAATATATACCTACTGTGCCAAACACACTTCCTTTCTTTTTTCTTTATAAACAACAACCTGTCTCCTTTTTTTGGTACCGGAAATCAAACTCCGGACCTTGTACTGGGCAGGCACTGTGCCGCTGAGTTATATCCCTAGCCAACCCTTCTACTTTTTAAAGGCCAAATATCTTTCCTTTTTTTGACAACTGCCCTTCTATTTTATTCAAACACTAGATAATACTTTATCTACCAAAGTATGAAAATATCTCAGTAAAACACATATGAGGGTTTATTTAGATAATTTATCTGAGATAACTAAGGTTTACCCTCAAGTGTAAACAGTATTAACTGTAAGCCTACATTTTCACAACTAACATATGCAGCAGGAATGAAAGACTAGAAAATCATTACAGTACTTTGCTACCAGAATAGTACTAACTTATTTAGGCAAGACTTACCAGCAAATGGTAAAATCACTGGAACTCTGATTAAAAAAACAGGGTATTGAAATAGCCTCGAAGAATTTCCACACAGACTATTTATAAGTTGCAAAGGGAAGGATAATTTTGAGGTTTAGAAGCTCGGCACACACAACTTCCACCAGGTGATCAAAGCTAATATCACTAACCATGGAGCCCACTGGTACCACACCCTTACAAGGTGCTTGCACCAAGAGGGATCCAACATTACTTACGCAGTCACCGGTATCAAAAATGACAAGCTGGGTTCAATAACGAAAGGGCAATCAGCCAAACCCACATCAAGGAACAGTCTACAAAACAACATGCCTGTACCCTTCAAAACTGGTAGTGTCATAAAAGACAAAAAAGGCTAAAGAGCATTTCCAGATGACAGAAGACTTTAGAACTTTATATAAATGACATGCAGTACGGGACCTTAGGCTGGATCCTAGAATCATGGAGGAAAAGGAGGTGCTATAAAGGCTGTGATTGGGGCAATCAGCAAAACTTGAAATAATGGCTACATGTTAAGTGACAGTATTCTCTTAGAGTTATTCAACTTCCCCAATTTGATATCCGTATCTTGGTAATTTAATCATAACGGTTCATGATGCTTGCCCCTTCATCTCAAGAGTTTAGCAAAATAAAATTATAAAATAAATTTATATATAGATGGAAAGAATGATAAAGCAAATATGCTAAAAATGTTAAAAATTAGTGAATGTAGATAAAGAACATGTGGAAGTTCACTGTATTATTCTTCAAAATGTTTTTATGTACTCTGGGAGGCTGAGGCAGGAGGACTCTTAAGTTTGAGCCCACCAATGACAATGACTCCAGGAGACTCTGTCTCAAAATTAAAACAATAAAGTAAAAAGGAATGGGTATATGCCTCAGTGCAAAGGCCCTGGGTTCAACCCCTAACACTGAAATAAATAAATAAATAAAAATTCTTTAAAAACTAAATAAATAGGTGAAAAAAATATGCTCACTTAAAAGGGAAAATCATCACATTAATCATGGACTTTGCCAGTATAACTCAAAACAAAAGTAGTCCTTCTGAAGGTGAGTTGTGATAAGTCTTGGGGAAGATAATGCCAATAATTAAGACTACGTCCACCAAGCATATCATGTTTAACCTGAGAACACAAGATCCCATGGAAAGGTTACCCGATCAAACTCAGCCATTCTAGAAAAATCCCTTTAGTATTGTAAAAACTGTCATTAGAATGAGACTATGTACGGAAAACTTACACAGGAAGTGAGGACCTCCTTCCCCTGTTCGTCTTCTTTGCAATTACTGGAGTTCCAAAATGCTCAGGATTTGTTAATGGAAGCTGATCAAGGGTCTGGTAAGAAACAGATGAACTCAGTTTGTATTCTACTTCTAGATCAGTAGCTACTGTTCGAGCCACAGCCCCACATGTGCCTCCTCACCTCACTCTCTGCAAAGTGCCTCTCCCCCTTTAGGCACAGAGAGGTCCGTCGCAGCGTTCTCTCGTCACCATCATCAAACACTACAGGAGAGGAAAAATAAGAAAATTAAACACGAGACCACAAGGAATGCTGCTATTACTATGTATTTAGAACTTCATATTTCTAAGAGCTATTACTTGTTAGTCATTTTTCAAAACCTTTAAAAATGAACATACTGGGCTGGGGATAGTGGCACAGGCACAGTGCCTGCCTAACAAGCATGAGGTCGTGAGTTCAATTCCTGGTACAAAAAAACCTGCAGTTTCTACTCTGTAGATACTAAAGAAACACAGGTGAAAGGCCTACCCCAATCTGCATATGTGCCTCTATCTACTTTTGCAATTTCTATCAGTATGGAGTCACCTTTCTAACTGCTTTACAATGTGTCAAAGCAATGATATTAAATCACCTGCAATCCTAAAAGCAAGCAAAAAGCTGCTTTTAAAGGAACTCCATGTAGTCTTTTCTGAAGGAGGTATCAATGATTTCAGCATCTAAGTTATAGTTTCAAAATAAAATGCTTTCAGAAGATACCTGATTATCCAAGATTATGAAGAAGACAGAATTTTTACTACAAATATATATGATGTATATTAATTGAACAATGTCTACATATCTTATGAAAGGAACATATTCAAAAGAAAGCATATATACTGAAATATGATTAAGATCTAATCCTAATTTTCATAATTTTAGACACTTTTCCATTCTACCAGAATAAGTTAATATCCACAAAGGAAAATTATACTTACCTTAATTTAATATCTTAAAATTATAATCCTGCATTTTTTAGAATATGATGTTTCATAAGCAAACACTTCAAATCACAATTTTTTTCTTTTATTTTTCTCTTGTGAGGTGCTAGGGATTGCAGCAGAGATGCATGCATGGTAGGCGAGCACTCTACCATTGAGCTACATCATAGTTATTTTTAATGAGTAAGTATTTTAAAGAAAATTAATTATATCAAGGTACTCAGTGTGTTCCATGTTTATCTACTTCAATCAGTTCTTTATCTTAGACTAAAGATATCTAGCTTGTCTCCTATGCAGGAGACAGTGTAAGAAAATTAAAGCTCCTGAAGCTCATAGTCAAAGCACCACTGATTCCACAAACGCAGCTGTGCTATGCACTGTTCACCACCCAGAGACTGATTGCCACGCACAAACACAACGGCAAACAGGACCAAACACAACATCCGCCATCACTTGTATCACTGATCTGCCAAGTATGTACAACAAAAATGAGGACGTGTATGGGGTGCTCAAGTATAGTAAACCATTGCTATTTTAAAAATTAAAAATTGTGACATCAATGGCACATGCCTGTAAACCTAGCACTTGGGAGGCTGAGGCAGATGGATCACCACAAGTTCAAGATCTGCCTGGAATACACAGAAAGACCCTGTCTCAAAACAACAAAAACAAATCATGACACCATAAATCAAGCTGAAAACAATTCTTTATGTTAGTATTAATGTCGATAAATAAGATTTTGGAAAGGTTCCAACTTTCCTTAATGCTGACAGTATCAAAGATAATGACACAATTTAGGCAGGAGGACAGAAAATAAAGACTGTAAGACCAATCAATACTATTAAATTTATTTAACAAAAATCTCAGCTAGGCATGGAAGAACACACCTGAAATCCTAGTGCTCTGGGAGGCCAAAGCAGGAAGATAGAAAGTTTAAGCCCAGACTGGACAATTTAGTAACTCAGTGAGACTCAGTCTCAAAATAAAAAATAAAATGGGCTGGGGAATTTGCCCAGTGTGAAGGACCTGGGTTCAGTCCCCAGCACCTGTCCTCCAGTAAAACAGTATTTTACTGCTTATCAATGGCAGCTCTATATCAAAATGTTCTGATGAATAGTCCAACAAATAAAATTGGTTTTTTGAAGACAAAAACTCATTTTACTTCAACATACTTTACCATTTATAAAATTAATGTAAAATCCAAAAGCCCTTCTCTAAAGGATCTGATCATAGGAAGTCTTCCAACTTTAAGTCAAACAGCTTAAGACTTTTTTAGTTCACAAAACTATATAAATGTATGCATTTGAGTGTTTTAGACATTTGTTAAGCAGTATAATATTGAAAGACATGGGAAACTCACCAACATAGTAGGTTTATCAATTCCAACATTAAGCTTCCTCTCCTAACTTCCATGTTACAAATATCATCAAAAAGAGTTGTGCACACTAAGGAGTCCCTTTAGCATTTTAATAAAAATGACCAGCTGTTGTCTGTAACAAACTTAGCTTCTTTTTAGATCAGACTTATTGTAGAGCATGCCAAGAGAAAATGAGACTGTAAGGACTTAACAATTCCATGAAATGTATGACACTGCCAAAATGGCAACTGAACAGATAACCGATTGAATGTGACAGAACACAAGTATGACCAAAAATTGTACCTCTGTTCTTTTTTTTTTTGGTTTTTCTCCGGTACCGGGAACCGAACTCATGACCTTGCGCTTGCCAGGCAGGCGCTTTTGCCACTGAGCTAAATCCCCAGCCCCGTACCTCTGTTCTAACTGCATTAGATATCGACACTAAAATCTATCTACAGGAAAACGACGAAGTCAAGACTCTCATGGTGACACTATTCATAATAAATAGACAAAATTCTTAAGCAAATATACAAATCCTAATCTGTCAGAACTCAAAGAAATGAAAAATAACAAGGATCTTATAAACCACTGAGTACAAAAGATCTGTCTGCTACCTTAACACTGATCCACAATGTAGTAATAAATAATAACAGATATAAATGGCAATCACTTACTAAGCTTCTACCGCACTCTAACTCGGTAGAACAAGCTCTTCAATGTCGAAATCACTACCTCCCTTTCACAGAAAAAGAAACTGAGAATCAGAAGGTTAACAATGAACTACAGGTTAATTAAGGAAGGACTGCAAGATATAACAAACAGGCACACAGAAGTATAAAATGAACATACACAAACCAGGATGGGCTAGCAGGCGACACCTGGGTCAGTGATGGCGGACCTGTAGCATGCGTGCCACAGTGGGCTGTTTGTATTATTAGAACCTCAAAAAGGTTTGCCATCACTGTCCTAGATTACACAGTGTTGCCTACTGCCCCAGACAACAAAGTAGGAGGAGGAAGTGAAGAATTCAAACATAAAAATGAGTGTCAGTATTGCACCCATGAGCTGCAGTCACAACTAACAGAATTATTTCACACACTGCAGTAAAAATCTTAAAAGTGTATGCACGTCCTGGGTAAAACACGTTTTTTTAAAAAACAGTATATATTTATGGTTGTGCACACCGTGGAATGACCAAATCAAGCTAATTAACACTTGCATTACCTCATATCCTTGTCTATTTCTGTGGTGAGGACACTTAACTACCCACTCTCCTACCAATTCTAAAGTATGTGATACAGTTACTAACTACAGCCACTTGTACAATCAAGCTCTTTATTCTTTTCAACTGAAAAAAACTGTTACTGAACTGAAATTCTATGTTGTTGACTGCCATCTCCAAGCCCCTCACCGCTTCCACACCATGCAATCTCCCTACCAGCTCCGATCACCAGCACCACGCGCTCTTCTTTTAAGATCCTATCCGTGAGTGAGATCTCATAAAATGCAGAGTTGTCTGTGCCTGGCTCCTCCCACACAGCATAACCTGCTCTAGGTCCACCGGAGCTGGCCCAGCCGACGGGCTGTGCTGCCTTCCTTCTCAAGGCTGAGGAGAGCCCCTGTGAGCATGTATCACACTCTCTATCCATTTGTCCACCGATGGAATCTGCCTGATCTACCTCGGCCATTACAACATGACTGCAATGAACATGGCAAGGCAAATACCTGTTGAGCATACGGATTTCATTTTTGTTTTAGAAATATAGCCAGCAGTGGGACTGCTGGATCATACAGAAGCTCCATTTTTAATTTTTTGAAAAACTTCGGAACTGGTTTCCATGATGGCTGTATTAATTTGCATTCTAAGCAACAACACCCAAGGGTTCCCTTTTCTCCACAGCCTCCCGGCATCGGTATTCTTTGTCTTGTTGATAACAGCCATGCAACACGTGTGAAGTGACATCTACTGCGGTCTTCATTTACATTTCCCTGATGACTAGCATGCCTGGCATTTTGTCATTTCCAGCCCTGCATCAGTTAATGACGGAATACGTTCTGGCATGCAGTGTCAGGTGACTTCCTCAGTGTGAGTCGCCCGAGTCCTCGTGCCTGTACCGGCTCGTCGCCTGCGCTGAGCCCAGGTTTCTGCTGCACTGACTGCTGCAGGCAATGGAGCATTTGTGCACTGAGACACAGCACAACTAGAAAACGCAGAAACCCTACTTAAAAGATAAAAATCGAAACACCCACGCAGGGTACTTACTATGAATGAAACCTGCAGGACTGGAAGGTGGGTGTGGCAGAGTGGTGAGTGAATTGAAGGCCTGCAACGTGACTGGACAGTGCTGGACGTTTATATCCATGATACACACAGGCCGCACTAAATTCATATATTTTTATTAGCCTGGCATGGTGACCTGTACCTGTAATCCCCGTTCCTTGGAAGGCTGAGGTAGAAGACCACAAACTGGAGGCTAGCATGGGCAACTCAGCGAAACACTGTCCCAAAGTGAAACATTTTTAGAAGGGCCAGGGGATGCAGCTCCATGGGAAAGAGCTTCCTAGCATGTCTGAGGCCCTGAATTGACTTCCTAGTTCAAAGAAAGGGACATTTCCCCCCTTTTTTTTTCAATAATAAATAAATCTTAGCTTACTATAATCCTTTCACTTCTTGATTCATGCACTAATAATACTCAGCATAAAACACAAACTCAGCATAAAACACAAACCTCTTGTACAACTACACAAAAATTTGATTTTTCTATTATGTCTTGTAAACTTTTTTGTTAAAAAGACAACATCACACACATTAGTCTGGGCCCACCCAGGGTCAAGACAATCCCTTCCCCTCCACTCCCAACCTGCCAGCAGAGCTTCCAAGGCAGGCGCTGGTACCTGCTATGGTAACAACACTTTCTTCTGGAACACT